ATCAGTCTGTAGTACTGAGTGTCTAAAACAGAGGACCTTGGTATGTGCAAAAATACGGTTTGCACATTGATAGAAAACTTTCCAAAATGTATTACTAGAAAGAGGTATAAAGGGAGAGTGATGCTGAACCCACTAGACTTTTACCCCCTCTCTAAAAGCTGGGGCTCTGGGAATTCGCTGTGTGACTCAGGGAACGGAAACTGATCTCCGTAACAGCCTAGAGGGGCGGGGTGGGGAGGGAGGCGGGCGGGAGGTTCGGGGCGGGGGGCATCTGCATACCTGTGGCTGGTTCATGTTGGCGTATGGCAGAAACCAACACAGCTCTTTAAAACAATGATCCTTCAATTAAGATAGTAAACACGTTTAAAATCAGAAGAGTTGGGACTCCGTCTCAGAATAATAGATGCTGTTAGTAGCAGGTTATTTGTTTTTTAATTTTTATTGGCGCACAGTTGACTTACAGTGTTATATTAGTTTTGGGTGTACAGCAAAGTGAACAGTTATACATATATCCCCTCTTTTTAAAATTATTTTCCCATACAAGCCACTACGGAGTATTGAGAGTTCTCTGTGCTATATAGTAGGTCCTTATTAGTTATCGATTTTATATATATAGTTGGATGTATATGGTAATCCACATCTCTGAATTTATCCCTCTCCTCTTTTCCACCAGTACCAATAATATTGCTTTCTACATCTGTGATTCTGTTTTGTAAATAAGTTTATTTGTACAGTTTTTTTTTTGATTCCACATATAAGTGATACCATATGATGTTTGTCCTTCTCTGTCAAACTTACATCACTATGACAGTCTGTAGATCCATCCGTTGCTTATTCAGCCATAAAAAAGAGAGAAATAATGCAATTTGTAGTAACAGGTTATATTGTAATGAAATTTTCAGTATCTGTCTACCACCTGATGACTTTTTAAATACTTGAGTGCATCTCAGGGAACATAAATTCATCCCTTTTCTTGGCTGAGGGCTTTGCCATGAGCGTTTTGGCAGGATAGAATTCTTTAGTGACTCAAAAAAATATACTGTTTTTAAATATAAAAGAAAATACTGTGTCAGTGCAATTCTTCTTTTGCCCCCCTCTCAGAATCCTAAGGGGAACATCTCCTTAATGAGCAGTAACCCGCTAAAGTCCATGTAAATTGATTGAATGTGGAACGAGTATATGAGCCTTCATTGTCACATCTCCACAAAGCAGTATTTCATGGCGGCACTCCCCAGTGTTTAGCCCAGATACCAGGACATCTCTGCAGTTTCCACAGTGATTCACCATCGATGATCAGGCGAATCATTGAAATGTTAGCTTCTAACCTTGCAGCTTATGGGCTGAGTCGGAATGGTCCCACTGCTACATTTAAGCTTTATAAGACTTTCTGCCAGAAACTTCCATGCTTGTTGCATTCAACATGCAAACCAGCCCCACTGGCAGTTATAAACCAGTAGGGAATAGGTATTTAAGGCATCTTTCGCAATGAGCACTCCTATGTACCGGTTATGACTTAAAGTAAGAGACTCCATTGTTAGGGGACTTGCGGTTATCTCCATAGTTTTTCAAATCACATTAGCAAATGGGAGTTGGGTTTTGATACCCTAGTTACTTCCCCACTTATAATTTAAAACAGAAATGCCTACTCTAGAGACTGAATTTTAAATCCCTAACCTCTTAGAAAAACCATAAGCAAAAATTGGTACTTAAAATCAAGCCTCAATTAACCTAGGTTTGCTTTCCTCATTGACTGAATTTACCAGATAGTCGAGTAACTTTCCATTTTAATTTTTGCTTTGAAGACTTGGCATAAGGAAAGGCTTCCTCATTCAAGGATCCTATGGTATTGAGAGCAGCTTCAAAGAAGAAAATGAGAAGAATTTCTTTTGTGTCTGTTTCTTGGCCTTTTAAATTACATTTATGCTTACTTTTATATTTTAAGAAGATGATCAGCTTTTATTCCTTCTGACTTACTGGATGAAGATGAGTCCAAACAATGAAGAAAGCTCAACTATCAATTATTTTTAAAGAAATAGAATATTTTTAATAGCAACAATATATTCAGAGTTTGATAAATAAAATCCTTTAGAAAATCAGTGAATTTGAATTATTGCTCAGATAAAAATGATTCATATAGAGTTGTTGGAAAAACACGTAGTTTGTATTATCGATTTGTTTTAGAAGCCTGTCTTCTAAAACAGAAGACAGAATTCTGCACTGTGTATATGCCCACTCATGCACATAATACACACACACACACACACATTCTTCCCTTGTGGCTCAGCTGGTAAAGAATTCCCTGCAATGAAGGAGACCCCGGTTCAATTCCTTGGGTAGGGAAGAACCTCTGGAGAAGGGATAGGCTGCCCACTCCAGTATTCTTGGGCTTCCCTTGTGGTTCAGCTGGTAAAAAATTCCCTGCAATGCAGGAGACCCCGGTTCAATTCCTTGGGTAGGGAAGATCCTCTGGAGAAGGGATAGGCTGCCCACTCCAGTATTCTTGGGCTTCCCTTGTGGTTCAGCTGGTGAAGAATTCGCCTGCAATGCAGGAGACCCCGGTTCGATTCCTGGGTAGGGAAGATCCTCTGGAGAAGGGATAGGCTGCCCACTCCAGTATTCTTGGGCTTCCCTTGTAGCTCAGCTGGTAAAGAATCCACCTACACTGCGGGAGAGCTGGGTTCGATCCCTGGGTTGGGAAGATCCCCTGGAGAAGGAAAAGGCTACCCACTCTAGTATTCTGGCCTGGAGAATTCCATGGACTGTATAGTCCATGGGGTCGCAAAGAGTCGGACACAACTGAGTGACTTTCATATACACACACACACGCGCGCGCGTATGTACATACACGTACACACACACGTTTCCTGAATTAGACTCTCCTCTGAATGTGGCTGACCAGTGTCTAATCTTGCACTTCCACTCAGCTCAGGTTGCAACGTGAATTCACAATGTAAATTTCCTGCACTTTAAGTCCACCTAAACAGTACTGGGGTGTCATCTGATTAATTATATTTGGAGTTCAAAGTTTTGATTATGGATGATTTATCAGATGTAATCTTTTAAAGGCATAAAATTAAATAATGGGCAGTGCAGGTAAAGATTAACTTGCCCTAGATCATCAAGATTGATGGTCTTGGTTTCCATAAATACTGGAGGTTGATATAGCATGCTCTACTTTCATGTGATTGAGTTCTATAAGTTCCAAGAGGTTAAGCTCATGGAACATTTTGCTAGCCTTGGGTCAGTATAGATTACAGGAATCAACTACCCAATCTGATGGCTTTTGATTTGAAGATGTTACAAAGCTTTAGTAGTTTTGCTCTTTTACCTAGTCTCATTGAATTATTTAATGAGATCTGTGGTAAATGAAGCAAAAAGATATGACTCCTGATCTCATGGAGCTTGCAATTGAATGTAGGCACATCAAAACCAAGTAAAAAGCAAGTAAGTACTCTTTTTACAGGTTATTTTTAAAAGAGCTTGGAAATTAAAGACCTATTTGTCCTAAGAAAGAGAATGAGAGGGGCATGAAGGGATAGGTGATCTTCTTAAGTTTTAAAAATCAGCACTTGATTGTACATTAGATAAAAACTGTTTACTTAGATTCAGTTAAAATGATATGCTTCCTGAATCACTGACATGATTAATTCCATAAAAGCCTGATCATATGGGTAGGCATAATCTAGAGACTTTAAAGTTTTTTTTTGTAACTATAATTTGCTGCTCCTAAATAATTCTTTCTTGTGATAATATAATATGTAGTCAATGCAGAAAAATTGCAAATTTAATGAAAGATCCAAAAATTTACTATAATTCTTTCACCAAGTGGTAGCCAGCATTGACACTTTGACTGGAATCCTCCCAGTTGCTTTCTGACATACATACACATCTTTACATTTATGCATTTTTGTAAGAAATAGAATCCTACTACATGCATTATTTTACAACTATTTTCTCCTTTTAGAGCAAACAATGTAAAACATTTCCATTTTACATTTTTTTGCGTTATAACTTTAATAGCTGCCTAGTACTTAATTACACTGTTGCCTCTCAGTTGCCTAAGCAAGTCACTGTTTACTTACATTTGTTTTCTAGTTTTTTATAAATTTATAAATAGTGAGATACCTGTCTTTTCCTCATTATCCATTATTTGCTTAGGGTACACCCCTAAACATGAAATTTCTGGTTAAACTCCTGAAGTTTTAGTTACATGATTGAAAATATCCCCCAGAAGACCATACTGACATATACCTCCATTGGGTGGGAACTTGTCCACTGAGACGGTCACTTTTACTGGGTACTTGCTTTGATTTTAACTTGCACCATTTCAACAGTCACAAAATGACTACGATAATGTGTTCTGTACTTTATATTTGATGTAAAATTGGAATATATATTTAATAATGTTTTCAGATTTGTAATGTTGCTTTCAAAATAAAACTAAAAACAAAATCAAATTTAGAGGAAATCGGAGCTTCTAGGATATGAGCATCCTGAGGACAAAGTTCATAGCGTGTTCTTACAAAAGCAAGTCAAGAAATTACAAATGCAAACATAAGTCATACAATGGGAACCAAAAAAAGATCCCATATAGAGGAAACAAACTTGGAATTGGGTTAGAGAGTATTTGTTCCCAAGATTCACAGTTGGCTATTGGTCTCTAATGAAAAATTAATTTTAGGACTGCTATGGAAATATGATGGTATCTTAGAATTCCTGTGACTATTCTCCTGAAAGAGAGAATTCCTGTGACTATTCTCCTGAAAGAGATTCTAGTGAACCAATAGAAAACTGAGTTATCTATGAAGATTACTCCTAATAAAAATGACAAGTGGAAAATTTTAAGTTTGTAGGCTTCATGTAGACATCTTTCTCAATGGTTGGTAGTTACCAAAATTAAATGATACTAAGAAATTGAGTGGCTGTGTTACATACAGTGGTGGGGTGTTAGAATTAAAAGGAATTGGAAAGATTGTCTAACTCAGCTCCTCATTTTACAGATAAAATAGAGTCTGGAAGAGATGAAGGAACTTGTCTGAGGACCCACACCTGGTGAGTAAAGAAAGAATAAATAAATTCAAATAAGCATATATTAAATTATTAAATATTGAAGCAATTTAAATATTTAAAGCATCATGAAAGTTTCCTTATAATAATCTGATGCCTCACATATAACCACCATTTGCAATATGAACTTCGCAAGTATATATATACACACATAGAAGCAAATGTTAACATTTTTTCAAAAAAGTGTCATATATAAAAATTATTCTACAAACTGTTTGTTTACATATGTCTTGTCTAGATAGTCTTGTTTTCTCTCAGCTAACAAGGAGATGCAGTAGAGCAGAGGCTGGCAAACCTGTTCCGGAAAGGCACACATGCTAAGCATTTTAGACTTTGTGGACCCAAGCCTCTGCCACAACGACCCGGCTTTGCTGTTCTGGTGAAAAAGCAGGCACAGACACTATGTAAACACATGCGTGTGACTTTGTTCTGATAGAACTTCACTTATAAAGACAAGAAGCAGGAAACATTTGTGCCACAGGTTATAGTTTTGTAACTCCTACAATACAGAAAGAAAAAAGTTATTTTAGAAAACTGTGATGGTTGAGAAGGAAGCGTGATGAATATCCTGCGTGTAGAGAGAAAGGAACTAGTCTGAATTTCCATCATTAGATGTGATCTCAGATGAGACAGGTAGGCTCCTTGACCCCTTGAGTAAAGCATGTTTACTAATGCAAAGATTGTGTGGTTATTTTGAAAACTAAATGAAATTATTTATGTAACTCAGTGGTTAGTACATGAGAACGTTCTCTTCCCCCCAAGGTGGGGATTAATGCAGGATTTTTGTACTCATGTAGGTGAAGCACTTGGGCAAGGAAAAGTTGCTCAAATTCACTGGTGTCTCGGCACGTCCAAGTCTTGTTCTGTGTAGATCCCTTTAAAAATCATGTTCTCAGACTGTTGGCAAAGTTTGGGTAAACATGACTATACCAGAATGATCCTGAGATTTCCTGAGAAAGGATTAACATGCCTTGCATGGAATTTTGCAATAAAGGAAACACTATAGTTTAATTCATAGTGATTTAAGGAGATGGAAGATTTTTTAGAGGGGAAATCTAATTATAGTGAAAATAAAATTTCATTTGCCCATCATTTCCTTCATTATTCATTATTTTTTATTGGGAAGATAAGTATGTACAAAGAATAGGAAAGAAAAACATATTAGAGTGTACTAGGAAAAATAAGGAATTAATGTAATGCTACTTAACTATAAATTTCTCATATTATAATCATATTTTAATTTATCTTCAAGTGAACCTATTGGGTAAGTTCAATTGGTTATTTTAAGACAGAATTTCTATAGCAGTTCCAAATAACTGTATTGCTTTTTCTAATTCATTTTGAAATAATGTATTTTTTTATGACTTGATAAATTTGTTTTTTCTCTGCTGGTGTAGTTTCGTTCAGTTGAATACTCTAAGATTGAATATAACTTTTCTTCTGTTTAGTATTGTTGTTGGTTTTTCTTAACTCAAAAGTAGTTCATTTTTTTCAAATTTAGATGTAAACTGGAATAATTCTGTTAATTTATTGTTGCAGTTTATATTCCGGAGAACAAAGGATTTTGTGCTGATTTAAATGTTCCTAATAACTATGGCATACAATTTAGGGAAAAATTAGTTAGGTCATTCATGTTGGTACAGTGTTCATTTTTGAAAATAAGTATGTAAGTATAGTCAAGATATTTTGACAATTGAAGAAATTACCCAACCTATTTGGGCAGCCGAGTCTGAAATGTAGCGCACCGTTTTAATAATCAGAGACATTTTCCCAGCAATGGGATCCACACCAGTGGTGGTACCAACAATGACTTAAGTCATAGTAAAGCCCACAGTGAGGAAGTCTTTGTATTCTTCTTTCACATCTCCTCCAAAATGTCTGATTCTCTTGGTAGGAATGGCTATGTGATGGTAATCCATCTTCTGTCACTCTTTTTAGCAAAGAAATTAGTCCTGAGGCCCAGAGCTATCCTTAAGCTGTAGCATCTAACCAGGACTCAGTTACACTGGGTTTTTAGGGTGGAGGGGGGGTTGCCATCCTTTTTATTTTTAAAGTTTACACTTCAATTTGAAATAAGTGAAGCTGATTTATTGCTTATAGGAGTATTCCAACTTGCCCATCTTAAACACATTCAGGTAAAAAACAAACACACAAAAAAGTGTGCTGACTTAAATAAAAATAATACATAAAGAAAGAAAGTGGCTTGCCAACAAGGCAAAATTAATGCCTGTGGAGTCTGAATATAACAAAAGTTTAAGAAAAAACTTAAAGATAATAATAGTCATAAAATATTGGAACTCAAAGCTATCTGTAGCTCCCGTGGTTGAAGACACAGTTCTACAAGTAAAGAATCACAGACCCTTGAGAGGTTGGAGCCTTGCACAGGGTTTCCAGACAAGAGAAGCAGTGGTAAATCTTTTTAACCCACACAACTGAGAGGTCTCAGAGAGTGCACTTTGGGTGAGCTGGGTCGCAGTGACTTTCAGGACTCCGTGAAAATGTGATAGCCAAATGTCCGGTTGCAGTTGGGTGTTCTTGAACTTCTGTTGTCAAGGACACCCTTGAGCCCGAGGGTGGGGACTATGAAACGGCAGTAGAGAGGAGGAGACCTATCTTGCCTTTTTGTAACTGCCAAAGCTAATTTCAATGATTGCTTTAGCAATATAACGATAACCAAGATTAAAGCAAGCAAGCATCCACTTTAGGATATGAGAAGTGGAATTTTAGATTTCATTATAAGATTGCCATTTCAACACAATAGTAATATAATGGCAATGGATTTCCATTTTTTCTCCATTTCTGTTGAAATATTATCTCATAAATATACTTTGATACAAAAGAGATCTCTCAATTTCACGAGAGCTCCACAGCTCTGTTTTATTCTTACACTGACTTATCCCCAAAATATCTTTTTGATGTACAGCTTCAATATTCTTGCCAATGTCTATGACATCAGCAATCAAAAATGGCATTATTTTTAGTTTTTTTTTCCCCCACATGCAGTTGCAGGCTATCCAAAAAAAAGGGGTCCTGCATTTAGTGTTCACTGAAATGTTCTTACAATATTATCAATGGATGTTTGTGACTCATGGAGCTACTTGTTCCAAGAGGGTGAGAAATGTAGCATCTATCAAACAAGATAACTTTACCCAGTGCTAACCTAAAATGGGGGCTCTCTGTTAAGAAGGGAACTGACACTGTTAAATATTAGGATTTCTTGTACTGGAAGAAAGCATTGTTTTCCCAAATTGTATTTCAGGAAACTGAGTTTCTGAGACCACATAGCTAGAAAGTATCAGAGCTCTGCATCTCTCTTCCCCAATACATTTGAAGGTCCACGAATTGAACTGCACAACAGTTACACATGGATCAGCCTTCCCAGAACAGAAGTCAAATGTTTCATCCACTGAAATTCTGAATTAAATGTAGTGGTCAAGTGTCATAATCAATAAGGTTAATTTAGTTGAAGAACATAAGAAAAGCATAAATTGGTTAAGTACACAGTCCTGAATATTCATTGGAAGGACTGATGTTGAAGCTGAAATTCCAATACTTTGGCCACCTGATGTGAAGAGCTGACTCATTTAAAAAGACCCTGATGCTGGGAAAGATTGAAGGTGGGAGGAAAAGGGGAAGACAGATAATGATAGTTGGATGGCATCACCAACTCAATGGACATGAGTTTGGGTAGACTCTGGGAGTAGGTGATGGACAGGGAGGCCTGGCGTGCTGTAGTCCACAGGGTTGCAAAGAGTCAGACATGACTGACCGACTGAACTAAACTGAACACTTGATTTTAGGCACCATTTTAGAGTTATTCTTTTTCCCCCAAGTTTCTGGAGTCATGCCTATATTATTTTTGAATAATGCCTATATTATCTTTATAAAATTATTTTACTTACTGAAACCCTTGCAGGGAATCTAAGATTCACTCAATTTACATCAAATTCATCTCTGCTCACATGCTCAGTTGTGTCCCACTCTTTGCAACCCCGTGAACTTGTAGCCCACCAGGCTCCTCTGTCCGTGGGTTTTTCCGGGCAAAAATACTGAAGTAGGTTGTCACATATCACAGAGTGCTTTAGTGAAATTTGAGCTTTCTGAAATATTGACATTAAAGAACTAGCTATTGGGTTAATAATAATGCTTTTCCTCTAGATGGTTCATTTGAAAAGAAAACAATGCATTTTAATATTCAGAAAATGATGTTAAACTGCTGCAATAAAATAAGCAAATCTTCGTAGTACGCAAGCAGCCCTGGCTATAGTTGTAGTCAGTAATGTTCAACTGACTCAAGCATTATAGAATATTTCCACTACATGAGCCACATATTGGGCTAAAGCTTTCTGTTATACCACCTCCCGATCACTTAACAAGCATAGCCAAGATAGAGACAAGAGCATGATTGTTTCACCCGAACCGTGACCGGAGTTCAAGGCTACTCTCCTTGGAACAGTGGGCAGAGACTAAAAGTTCCTCAGATAAATGTGTAGTTAGGTACTACTTGGTATCATCTCTAAATTGGAGGATCCTCAGTTTGGGCTTCCCAGGTGGTGCTAGTGGTAAAGAGCCCGCCTGCCAATGCAGGAGACGTGGGTTTGATCCTTGGGTAGGGAAGATCCCCTGGAGCAGGAAGTGGTAACCCACTCTGGTATTCTTGCCTGGAGAATCCCATGGACAGAGGAGCCTGGCGGGCTACCGTCCATGGGGTCACAAAGAGTCGGACACGACTGAAGCGACTTAACACACAATCACTGAGAACCTGCGATGTGGACTTCCTGCAGGAATGCAGCTCACGGGGACCACACCCTGAGGGCGGGGAGGCGTCAGGAACCACTGGCTCCGCCCTGAAGGGGGAGCGGAGCTCCCCAGTGCTGACGCACCTGAGCTGTGACTCTTTGATGGCCCCTGACATTGCTCCGTAGAGTCGCTCTTTCTGTGTACACTGCTGTGTTTGACCTGAATAGCTGATGAGGACCTACTGT